TTACAAACTCAGTGGTATTTATTACTGAAACATGAATAGAGTAGCTTCTAGGATATTACTGTAGAACTTGTATTGAATTCTGCTGGTGCAAAGAATAGACTGGACAGCGAAATGTTGATAAAATAAACAGTTATGGTCATTTACTTTTCTGATTTCAAAGGGCAACAAACATGGACAAAATTCTGAACATCATGGCTTCTAAATATGTAAGCCCCTAAGAACATGCTCCATTAATTCAATGACAACTCTTCATAGCAAGGTGATTAGTTCCCCGAGGAATTATATTGAGATCACTATACCCATTTTGCAGATGAAGAAACTGAGCCATCTCAGTCAAATGACTTAACATGCTTAAAGAAGAAATTAGACCCATAATTTCAAATAGCCTGTAGACATGGGCTGCCTCCCAGCTCAATGTTTTCTTCTAAGGTATCTTAAAACTCAAATATTGAGAAATGATTAGTAGTGCTTTATTATTTACAAGTCAAATACCATTAATGACAAGACTTTTAGCCCAATCGAAACCTCCAAAAAACCAAGAGTTCATTAATATTTGATCCAACCAAATTCTAACTAATCCAAAATCTAAATAGTAAATATATATATATATATGAAAGCCTAAGCGACCATTACAACTGGTCAACCAAATGACCGGTTGCTATGATGCGCACTGACCACCACGGGGAAGACACTCACTGCAGGAGCTGCCCCCTGGTGGTTAGTGCACTCCCACAGCCAACCTCCCATGGTCCTTTCCCATGGCTGGCGGCCCCGATCGGCCCAGATCAGGACTGGGCGAGACAGCCCGGATCAGCCCGGATCACTGGGCCTCTAGTTTAGTATAACAAGATTTAATTCATAGAGAAGCTCCAGAAATTCTTCTGAGCCATTTTTAAAATGGCTTTTTCTGGTTACTGTGAAATTTAAACATGTTCAAAACTAACAGCAACACTAAAAGGAAATGTAAGTTCACCCATAATTGCTTAAGCTTCTAAAATGTGAGTTTTTATTTAAAACTAAAATATACTTTGATTTCTTCAAGAAAGGCTTTCAGAACCAGTTTGAAACGAGATAATTTGGTTTCGTTAATGTTTTAAAATAAAAGCAAAAGACCATTTAGTACAACATCTGTACATATATAATTACAAAGGTGTGTCTTAAGATAATCCTTTTTAAAAATATGTTTTTATTGGTTTCAGATAAAGGAAGGGAGAGGGGGAGAAAGAGGGAAACATCAATGATGAGAGAGAATCACAGATTGGCTGCCTCCTGCCCACCCCCTACTGGAGATCCAGCCCGCAACCAGGACATATGCCCTGATCAGGAATCAAACCGGTACCTCCTGGTTCATGGGTTGACACTCTACAGTGAGCCACACCGGCCGGGCTTAAGATAGTTTTTTAAAGTAACTTAAAATAAATCGTAAGTACTAGAAGCACACTGTTGAAAACTATTTTGGTAACTGATGTAGCCTTTCCTTATTGTGTTTATCGATAAACACAGATAAGGAATGTATGTAAAAAATAGCTACAGGTCTAATGCAGACAATTTTACTTAGAAGTGATAGAGCCGTTACATCTGCAGTCCTTAGTCTGAGGGAGTCATCCTGTGGTTATAAAATTGAGAGAATTTACACAATTGAATTAAGAAAATCAACAGAATTAGAGCATTGTTAATGATTTCTAAAAATACCTCCAGATGGCCTGTGATTATAGTTTATGACCACCAGAGATATGAAGTCTCTCTCTCTCAAAACATCATGACTTCTGGGCATGGCTAAGCGCCTTCCACCGGACTCTTCTCATTAACTCTCTTGTGGAGATTCTACAAGTCATTTGGCTAATACATCAAAAACGGTCTTCAGCCAAGACCAGTTTGTCTCAGTGGATAGAGCGTCGGCCTGCAGACTGAAAGGTCCCAGGTTCGATTCTGGTCAAGGGCATGTACCTTGGTTGTGGGCACATCCCCAGTGGGAGGTGTGTAAGAGGCAGCTGGTCAATGTTTTTCTCTCATTGATGTTTCTGGCTATCTCTCTCCCTTCCTCTCTGTAAAAAACCAATAAAAATATATTTTTAAAAAACGGTCTTCATTCCACTGACTTCAAATTACAATAGCAACTAATCGGAGGGAACAAAGCATAGAGTTTAAGAGCATGAACTCTGGAACCAGACGACCTGAGTTTGAGTTCCAAGTCAGCCCTGTTTCTGCGCACTAGGTTAGAAATGTAACATGGCACCTCGAGTTCATACTACATGAATAGCACATGCCCGGGTTGCGGGCTCGATACCCAGTAGAGGGCGTGCAGGAGGCAGCCGATTGATGGTGTTTCTCATCATTGATGTTTTTCTCTCCCCCTCTCTGAAATGAATGAAAACGTATTTTTTAAAAATAAGGCTGTTTTCTGAACGGATCTTGTACTAGATTGTTATCCTGCTTCTGATAAAAGCACGCATTCCAGTCACGTGAGGATATATCGTGGATGTGCATGGTACGCGCTTTTCTGTTTGCGTAGGGAGAGGGTGTGGAGGAAGCATTTTACTTCATTAGTTTATGTCTGTCCAGAGAGAGACTTTTTTCTATGCTGGTGACGTTTTAAAATAACCTAAATCCTAAAGATTTGCTAGATTAACAAGTCTCTCAAAGTGCCAGTACATGACACCTATTTGAGAATGAACACTCACACACATTAGAAAACTATTTAAAACCTGGGGCACCTTTAGCGTTACCTTCAGAAGCTAAGAAGCAATATAAATACTGTCACTGTCTCTAAGGGGCATTTTGACTGAAGGGGTACATTTGCCATCTAAGAGGTTCAAGTTATTCAAAGAGGACTGAACAAGACACCTGACTTTAGGTAAAAAGGAGGAGCAGTAAAGGGATATTCTAAACCCAGGGCTACTTTTTAGTACCATCTTTTTCCCTCATCGATGAGCCATGCATCTATAAGGCAGTATTTTGGACACCAGGATAAGGCCTTTTCAAAGCTGCTAAATATCTAGTTATTGAAGTCATAAAGATAGGAGAGACCGAATAAGATGTAACTCATCAACTTGTCAACCAAAACAGTCTCCACACAGAGCTTCAACAATGTGATGGCAAATGGGGGAAAAAAGATTTGGGACTAAGATGTAAGCTTTTCTAAGGTGTGTTAGAAAAAACACCTTTTAAAAAGCTTCCATTCCTAACGAGCATGGAAACAGAGCCTTTGTTCATTATTTAACGAGAAAAAGCATAAAGCTCTCAACCTCAAATCAAATGATTTTCTTAAAACCAATAAAGATAAAATTTAGTCCTTTTCAAGCACCAAGTGAACATATGTACCAATATGAAATTTCCCTAAGATTTTTTTTTTTTAAATTCTCACCCAAGGACATGTTTTTATTGATTTTAAAAGAGAGTAAGGAAGGAAGAGAGAAATATTGATCGATCCCGCAACCTGGGCATGTGCCCTGACTGGGAATTGAACCCAAAACCTTTCGGTGAATGGAGACAACACTCCAACCAACCAAGCCACATCAGCCAGGGTGAAATTTCCCTAAGATTTTTCTTTTTTTTTGTCAATATACACCTCCTAAGATCTGATATTCTTACTTACATTAAGTGCTATTATTTAAAATCTAAATATATACATATATATATTTGTGTTCCAGATTGTTACAAATCCTATTGCCTATCTAGTGACCAGCTTATTCTAATTTTCAGGAAAAAATATGTTAACTTGAGCCTTTCTTCATTTATAAAAAGGGAGTTTTCTTCCAAGTTAAGCCTATGGTAACGTCAACCAAATGTCTCCAGCAGAAAACAGTGCTTAAAACCATTACTCGGATTGTTCTCTTACAGCTATTCAAACTTCGTGATGTGATCACAAAAGCACATAATTGATAGTGTGGCAGACCAGATCTGCTGCTTCCACTCACTATCCCAGTACTTCTTTGTAGCCTCATTCTGTCCACTGGAGGACAAAGGCCTCACCATGGAGCTGACAGAAAAGCTTAGCTCTGTTATTTTCAGTGCTTGTTTCCTTAAAACATTTTATTGCTCTAAACTGCTTGGGTAACAGACAAAAGGCTTTTGTAGACTGATGTCCAAAAACTCATTTGACACCAAATTTATTTCACTAGTTAGCCAGGCAGTGCTGGTTTCTTACTATAAAAGCACAGAGAACGTTATTTTTTCTTCCCACTCAAGAAATTTTGTCACCAATACTATGTCAACACTGCACCAATGGACAATTAAACAGTTAAATGACTCATTTAAATAGTGTCCCTCCCAAGTCATCTGTTTTTTAAAAACTCCATCCTTAACAAGCCACTACATTTGACACACATTACCAATGGTTAACCATTAAAAAACCCCAAGCCAGCAGGTTGGCTATCCAATTTGCCATAAAAAAATAAAAACAATATGCTGGGAAAATGCACACAAATGCTAATATTTAGTAACCTGTCCAATCTTGAATAGATTTAGATCATAAACTCTCCAACTTCATACAATGACTGGACTTTAAGTAAAAGGATTAGTAAACAGACCTAAATCTTTTTGTCAAGTTAGGTCAGCTGCTTTGTCTAACCAAGTTTTATAAGTGTTCATCTCCTATACAGAAGCAGAAAACCGAGCCAGTGGTCTCTCTCCATATACATTTCAAATAAATCCTCTCAGATTACAGGGGAGGATTTCATTTTATCACCTTGGATGTCAGCATGACACATTTTAAAGCTTGCAGTGACTAGCTTTAGCATACTATCCCTAGCAAGGGGAGACAGATAGGGACTGGAGAGAGGTGCCAAAAAAATAAGGCTGTCCCAAGCAGTGGTCAGGCTATGGAGTTTCTATAGGACAACTTTTTAGGTAGCAAATGACTATCCGCTGCACTAGGAGAGCAACTGCTTTCCATCACTCCTTTGGGATTCCATGAGTCAGATCTTTCTGCATCATTAACATGTATAATGTTAACTCCAGAGACAGATCTTTGGCAAAGGCTTAAAAGACCACAAAAAGCATTTTTAATTTTAAAGAATTTTAATACAAACTTAATATAAACTATTTCAGTCCCTCTTAACATGTAAGACACTGACTCAAAATACTTTTATACCATTTTTTCAAGTATTGCACAATATAGGTACAAAATTAATATTTACGATTACATTTTCTTCCATAATATATAGCAAAAATCTTTAAACCTTTAACAGAAAATACATTTTTTGAAAAAGCAAATATTCGTACATTTTAATTCCACCACTAAAGGAATATCCTGTACACAATTTTTAGAATAGTTGATGTCTTTAAGATGGATATTTTACAATTTCAGTAAAAAAAATACAACATGAAGCTGCTGCTGTCACAGATCACTGTAGTAAAAAGATATAAATGCATACCATGTCGTAGAAACAATATATATATCCTCTGATATTTTACAAACTTTGTACTAAATTAAATTATACAATTAGAAAAGACCAATAAACCCACTTATTAGTGCCAATTTTTTATAAAAAGAAAAAAATCAGCCATGTCCTTGCTATATCTTAAATACTGTAAGAGGCCATACTGTATATCTGGGAGTATGCTTTAAAATATACAGTCAGTATAAAATAACTTTGTGCTTGGTTGGCAAATGAAAAATGATGCATGTTTTATTTTTGTAACCAAGCTTGAATGTATCTTTACTATACGCTTAAAAAAAAAAATCTCAAGGAGGTGAAAAAAAAAACCCTCCTTGGGCCCAAGCATTTTAACTTGTACTTTTAACTTTTACGACATTTTTTTCTTCTTTTAGTTAGCCATAACTGGCTGGAATTGCTGGTTAGAATACTGCATGTTATTTAAGCTAAAATTCAAGCCATCTACAAAAGACTTCTCGTTGAGGCCTCCGTAGGCCGCAAACACGTCAAAGGCATTACTGTACTGAAGAGGACTGAGGTTAAGGGGGCTGTCACCTGGGAACATTCCATTGGTACTACTACCTTGACCCTGCATATTAGGAAAAACAAATTCCTTGGCATTAGGAGAAAGAGCAGAGGTTTTCTGCTGCTGCTGCTGCTGCTGTGGTGGCGGTGGCGGCGGCGGCTGGGAGGGCTGCTGTTGCTGCGGCTGCTGGCCACCCAGGCCAAGCCCATAGAGAGAGTGCACTGAGGAAGAGATGGCTTTCTGCTTCAAGAGGTCATTCACATTCAAGCCAAGGTTGATAGGAGAAGTACGTGCCACCTTGTTGCTCCGGCCGCTATTCTTCATTTTGGTAGAGCCGAACTTGGTGGCAGCAAAAGTGGCAGTGGTGAAGGTTAAAGGCTGAGTGGACCGGGGCATGAAAGTCGGGCTTACAGCAGCAGAGTGACCAAAGGGAGGCGATGGAGAGCTGGACACCGACGAGGCTGGGTCACTTATGGGCATAAAAACCTGCGCCTCTGGGTTAAAGCTGTTTTTGATCTCCTTATCCAACTCACATCCGTTTTCATTATTGTCATCCACATAGAGCACCTTCACTGGTCCCTTCTCGCCGATCTGGTAGGAAACCTCAAATGGGTCGATCCACACACTGAGATCCTGTGGCAGATTGCCACGGACGTCGTCAATGTCCAAACCGCTCTCCTTGGACGCCTGTTCAATCACGGGGTCCACCTTCTCCCCTATGTGTATACACCTAAACCCTGATCCTTTGTATGGCTTTTCAGGATACCAGTGCCCTTCATATTTCTTCTTAAGAAGTCTTTCAAGCTCTTCACCAAAAATGTTGACACGTCTCCTGGGTAGCTTATTGTACAAATACGAAATAATAAAATTTAGTGCTACTTGGATTTCAAGCTGCATAGCTGCTATGCCACAAAGTTAGATTTGTGTTTCAACTCCCCCCACACACACCGGAGGAAACAAAAAGTGTTCAGTTTGTGGCAGGGAAACAAATTTTCATTCAAAGTGCTGGTATAGTAGGTTATCCTCCACCTTGAGAGGTCTTGTTCCTTAAAGAAAACAAAACAAAAGCGAACATGTACAAATGAGCTAAATGGTAAGTCCCACAGCCTGTTTTTACCCCCGGAATAATGTCACTTTTGAAAAAGTCTAACAGGATAGAAAGTCTGAAAAATATAACCAGCACAAAATACAGGCCTATACAGTAGAAATTGTTTATTAAACTTCAAAATATCATGGGAAAACAGGATTCAGTTAAAACAACATTTTAACCCTATAATTGTTTTTGAATAGAGTTCTAAGAATAAAAACATGTCCAGAATATGTGGCGTATTCCTTCTTTTTCTTCCCTCAATTCACACAGAATGTTTACTGAAAACTATACTCAGAATACCCATCCACCTACATATATATATACATATATGCCAAGTTTAGAAGTTGGTAGTATTCCTTTTCACCAATTTAGAAGTGAATTCTGTGTTTCTGTTCATTTTGGATATGTATTGAAACTGCTTAAATCTCCTTTATTGTTATGCATTTAGAAATTTGAGAAGTTCGGAGGCTTATTTTAATTTCCAAAGTACATTATGCTAAAATTAAAGGTGCTATATACTAAATGAATTGCCATTTTAGCGACTGCTTCAAACCGAATTATCCTATACAGTTGAGGTCTTGCATATACTGAAGGGCACACAACTGAGCTTCTTTGCCACATATATCTTTCTGAAAAATACCTCGTCGACAGCACATATAACAGAAGCAACACTTCATTTCAAAACTATTTATTAACCTGTCTAATGGGCAGGGTTTCTGAGTTTTATTCTGATTTTCAAAACCACCTCCCTCCCTCCCTCCCGATAAGAGAACCGCCGGGGAGTCCTGCCCGATCAGGTCGACCTTTAAACGTGTGCTGGATCAGCACTGGGTGGGGATAAGGAAAGATCAAGGGCAAACAGACGATGTCGCGAAGGAGCTGTGTGTGTACCCCGAGGCTGGTTTAAAGGGACGTTTAGAAACCAAGCCGGCATGCCCCCATCTGCTCAGGCACCATGTTCGTGGTGACAAAGGGAAAGGGCTCTCTGGCTGCCCCCAAACTACACACGCTGTCCCCGCCAGAAGCCTGGGTGCCGCGGGGGCGGCTGATGACGCCCAATTGTTTGAAGGTGTGGACGAGCGCGATGCGGGCTCGCGGAAGGTGTTTGGAAGGAGCCTGGAGGCCGGACAATTACATAAACAGCCGGCCGGGTCTCATTAGATTGCAGCTCACAGCCCTCGGAACCCAGCGGCGGCCGGAGGAGG